TTTTTTTTTTTTTTTTTTCACAGCAAATACATATAAATAGAACTATGTCAATTGACACTGAGGAACTAGAAAACTGAACTTACCCTCTTGAAATTCTAGAAGAACTCGAGAGCTACAACTTCATTATGGAGGCAATTGGGAAATCAAACCAAAACTCCGTAAATGATATAAAACCAAGCAAGTTGGACTAACACAAAAAATAAATAAAAATGCGCACCTAATGTACAAATAAACTAAAATCTCCCCTACACCTAACAGCCCCAACACCCTGCCACCCTAGACCGCACACGAGCCACTTCCAATAGCTTGGAGATCCAAAAAAACTGCAAATCAGAACCTCTTGCGGCCACTTGCGCCACCTACATTGATCTGATGAAGAGTTTGCTCTGGATTCAGATTTGGACTCTAAAAAAATCATCACGCCGGGAAAGGAGGGGAGCCGCCAGAAAAGCCACAACTGACCCACGCCGGAGGGCTCTCGAAAGAGGTCCAAAAGCGCAACGAGCCGCACCCTTGGACACGACAATAGAGTAGCATGAACTCATACTCACCGACGGCCGGCGAACTCAGGAGGCTAGGAGCTAGGCGCTGACGATCGACGACCCGACCTTGGCCAGGAAAATAGCGAGCGGCGAGCCCGACCACACACCCAAAAGGCCTCGGAACAGGCAAAAAAGAGGGCCCCAGCCCCGACTCGGCAGAATCCGACACGGATAGTGCAGCGGCAGGCCTCAGAAAAAGGGGGAGGACGACGACGGATATGAAGTTTTTTTTTTACGAGGAGAGAAAGACGAAAAAGGTTTGCATAAAACTATTTTGAATCATGACGATTTGTACAACTGGATTCTGTTACATTAAAACATAATCGATCACATTTGGTTGCTTGAATTTAAATTATATCATTAATTCTTTGATCCATATCGGCCCTTACTCAATTGTGGCAAAAGTAATTTATGGCACTTCGCATTCATACTCTTTACACCCTTATCCTACTATTGGGATTAAAACTTATAACACATACAACATCAGAAACCATAGTCCTTAAATTGACGGAGCACAACGCGTGTCAAGGAACCCATGACACACTCTTCTCCGACGAACATGCACGCTTTGCGGACAGTGTAAAATCACCAGCCACAACTGAGAATCTCAAGAGAAAACGAGCAATGCCGGCCATATATCCCCTAAAACTGAAAAAAGAAGGATAAAAATTGATGCTACTCGATTTTCTTTTAAAAAAACTCGCTTGAGGGTGATTAATTCAATATACTATAGTGGGTGGTACTTTAGGTTTGTGAAACTCCCATATACAATTCGAGAATATGTTTATTTCATTTGTCTATTGTATGTCGTACTTCGTCATGGTGCATTGCGTGATTTTAGGGCGAGAAATTAGGTTGCTCATTGACATAAGATAGACTTTTTTTCATTGACAAGTATTAGCGGATTTCTTCGGTTGACACAGTAAATTGTCCAAAATGTGTCTTTTTCTAGAACTGTATTTGAAATCTGATGGGAGTGAATCGGTAGTAATGAGCTCCAATCTATTTGAAGCGTCCTTGAAAATCCTCTTCAAACCGCTGCAAGCACTTGCAAGAACTCAACACCGGAGATGTTTCCGGTGAAGAGCCTCCGACGCTCAAGTCAGTATGAGAGTGATGGGAATGAGCTCTGCTCAGTGGGAGCAGCAGCTGAGAAATGAATTAGAGAATGAAAGTTAAGTTTTGGGGTTATCTCTAACCCTTTATATAGGGATAAAACACTTACTTGAAGTACCAAAAATGCCCTGATCGACTTACGTGGAATGTCCAAAATACCCTGGTCGATTCGCCTTCCATCCCTCTATTAGTCAGCACCCAGATTCCTTCTTATCCTATGTAGATCCAACCTTGTTTGGGATTCTTATGCTATGTAGATATGCAAGAGTCGTCTGAACATCTTGGGCCTCGAGATATATGCAGTCGACCCTGGGGTCTCGACAAGTCGACTTAAGGGATGCCCGGAAACGTTTAGAGGCTCTTATCCTATGCTTACTCGTCTTTAATAATAACAGTCGACTTTACCAAAGTCAACTTGATGGTGTCGTCGTTGATGACTATGTTGTCAAATAACCAGTACTTAGACCGATATATGATAATATGGCTATATCATCTAGTCCCCCCTAAAATTACTCTAAGCGACTTTTAGCTTAAGAGTAAATTTGGTAGTTAGGCTTCCTTCGGACCTTACTGCTCGACTTTC